AAGGAAAGAAAAGTATGGATATTCAATTAAGCAGGGTTAACATTGGGAAGGGGACTTTCACTAGCAAGTGTTCCAATTAAAATGATAGAAAAGTAAATCAAAGTGGTTAAAAAGCAAAACACTTCCACAAAGCAGATATTTGAAGGGATGAATAAATGAATGGATTCTTACTTAATATAGTTTTAATTGTTATTCACTTCCCCTTAATCCCTTTTTTCCCACTGCAGTGGTGATACTGTGGGAAAGCCCGCAGGTTTTTTCTATAACTTAATAGTTCAGAGATCTGGGCAAACCTTTGCTGTTTGCCTCTGCTGTCGTCTTTTAGCTATTTTTTTTGACCATTTTGTTTCTTCTTTAAGTTTCTGTTCACAGAGACTCTGTTTCCTTCCCTTGTTTTCTTCCTTCCTCCCTTCCTTTCCTTATTCCATTTATCCATTTCATGGAGATTTGTTAAATTTTTTTTTTTTTTTTGCGGTACGCGGGCCTCACTGTCATGGCCTCTCCCGTTGTGGAGCACAGGCTCTGGACGTGCAGACTCAGCAGCCATGGCTCACGGGCCCAGCCGCTCCACGGCATGTGGGATCTTCCCGGACCGGGGCACGAACCCATGTCCCCTGCATCGGCAGGCGGACTCCCAACCACTGCGCCACCACTGCTTCGTGCCATCATCTTTTTAGGATGTTCTCAGCCTGAGTTTTGTTTTTCAGAAGATCCTTGTCCTGCTCTCTTCTCTGGGTATTTTTGTGTAAATGTCATGATGGTTCCTTTTTGTTCATTACCCATATTTATATTGGGTGAGTTCTTTTTGGAACCGCTAGTTTGGATGGATAATTAGGGATAGTGGGTTGGTGTGTTTCCGGAAGCTTGACTTTGAATCTTTTGTCTTCAGACTCTTTCTTAGCAGCTCTCTCCTCCAGGGTTTGATTCTGCTCCTGAATGGCTCAGAGCGGAGGGCTTTCTGTCATAGGTTTTGTGGTCCGTGATGTAGCTCATGTCTCCTCAGTTAAGATTGAAACACTCTGTCTCCCTGAAACTTGGTCCAATTTTACTATACTTTAGCTGCTCTTCTTCATATATAATAATTTCAGTTTAGGGACATCTTCTAGTTTAGCCAAAGATGATATTTCCTTTTCTGTTTCTTATTCTCCTTGTTATTTTCCATGGATTTCAAAAAGGATTGAAAAAGAGCGGAGATACTAACGTGGCAGTTTTGCGATACTAGTCTGTAGCTTGTCTTCTGCCTTTATTCTTGCTGTTTTGTAGTCTGCTCGCTACAGCTGCCCAAGCAAAAGCACAGGTGAGAACGTGTGACTTCTCTGCTTCAAAACTTTGCTCTGTGTAGCTTAGAAGGTAAATGACAAGCACTTCAAATTGGCCCCTCAGCTCCTACATGAAATGCCCCTCCCTCCTCTGCCTTTAGTCCTGATGTTTATGATTCCTTTATATTTGAGCAACACTGAGTTGCTTGTATATCTGATAACGTGTTATGAAATTTCCTGTCTCTACCCCTATTTCATATGCCTGTTGCCACCACCTGGAGTTCTTTTTTCGTACTTAATAGGCTTCTACTTATCCTTCAAAGCCCAGCTCAGATGGTTCTTGCTTTATGAAGCCACCTTTTACTTTTTTTGGAAGAGAATTGGTCTCCCTCTCTTCTATGCTACCCCTTTACTCATACACGTTTTGATTATTGCATTTTTTCATTATAATATAATTACTTGTTTACATATTTTCCTCATTCACTAGATTGTGAGTTCCTTGAAATTGATATCTTGTTTCTTTTTTGATCCACATCACTTGGTACGGTGCCTGGTACTTAAAAGGGTCTTAAGTAATAATTATTATTCAGGTTTGAATCGACATAAAGGGAAAGATTCAAATCTGAATAATAATTATTCAGGGTCAATAAAATAGAGAGATTTTTAAATGCGGGTCTTGAGTTTTTGTTTTCGTTGTCTTTGCTGAATTTGAATGAATGTAAATAAAAATGTAAAACAATACCAAAACCAATAAAACAAAGCAAAATCAAGTATAAATATCCTGTAGCCCATAATAAAAGACTAGGGATGAGGAAAGAAGTGAGGAGGAAAACTCTAAATCCTGGAGCTATTTGAGTGCTAGTGAAGTAATAGTCTGCATTGTGAGAGCAGATAGGTTCTCCAAGATAAAGTGTATGTGGAGGAGAAATGAACAGGCTGGGACAAAGCCACAAGTCTTTCAGGTGCAGTGGGAGGAATAAGCAGTGAGCTTTCTTTCCTTCCTTTGTTGTCAGGTTAAGGAACATTATCTCTTGCAGGGATTCAACCTCTCTGTTGTAAAAATAACTTATACTGCTGATTTCATGATATTTCTTCTCTCCTGAGCTAAGTTCCAGAAAACTTTTTATGCCCATTTCCAGCAATAATGGATGATGTGCATGTCTCAGTGGAATAATTTAGTGACTCGCTCCAGTGAAAGGTGAAATACTGAGTGAGGATTGAAATACTCCATATGTCTTAAAATTCCACAAACCCAGGCGTGTGGGAGACATTCAACACAGAAACTCAACATGACTAATCCTTAGAAAACAGTCTGAAATCAATAGTTCTTCCCCACTGCCTGGACATACCGCAGAAGGCATCCCCTTGGGGCTCTCAAGGAGCCATCTGGAATTTTTCAGATTTAATATTAGTGCTTTGCTTTTACAGAAAGGCAGCAAAAACCCTCACTGGCCTTCCACCTGAGACATTTAGGGGTCCATTGGCATGGATTTTCCTTTATTCCTATAGCTCTGTGAGAAATTAATTGCAAAACATCCAAGACAGGCTTTGCTTCCTTCCCATCAGAAAATACCAGGAGTGAAGATGTTTCCTTGTTGCTGACTCTTTTTTCATGCCCTCTGCAACTTAAAAAATTCTCTAATTTTTTTTTAATTTTTATTTTATATTGGAGTAGAGCTGATAAACAATGTTGTATTAGTTTCAGGTGTACAGCAAAGTGATTCATTTATACCTATACATGTGTCTGTTCTTTTCAAATTCTTTTCCCATTTAGGTTAGTACAGAATATTGAGTTACCTGTGCTCTACAGTAGGTCCTTGTTGGTTCTCCATTTTAAATGTAGTAGTGTGTGTACATGTCAATCTCATTTCACCTCTGTTCAGCTCCCTCCTCCCCTTTGTTTGATGGTGGTCATCTCTGTTGCAGGGGGCACAGGATGTCTTTTGGCTCTGAGAGTGCCCACGCTGTCACTAATTTGGAGCTTCAGGTCATTCCCTAGACCCTTCCCTCACAGCTGACCTAGGAGCTGGCAAACTCAAAGGTGGTTTTATGGTGACATGGTGATTTCTGAGGAGCTCCAGAGTGTGTCTGAGTCTGAACTCTAGTGTGTGGTGCTGAAATTAATGCAATCTAATACATTTTAATCAGGGACCCACTATGTTCTAAACAAGACATGGTCCTAGTTTCCAAGAAGCTCACAACCTAGTGGGAAGACTGGTGTGTGAAAGTGTGAAATAGGGGGACTCCAGGGAGAGGATAGATCAGCTCCACCTGAGGAGGCCCAGCAGCGTTTCTCAAGCAGCCAACACCACAGTGATGACTTAGGTTCCCTCCTAAGTTATTATGTCAGGTTCCCTCCCCCTGCTCCCGTGTCTACCACTCAGATTCCAGTTTTCTCTCCATCAGATCTGGGGACACTCTGTAGTTTTCACACACAGAAGTCTACTTGAAGAGACCTATAAGGTTGAAATGATTTCACTTTGCCACCCAATGGAAGTTCAAGGCTGTCTCACCATTATTCCTGTGTCTTTATACTGTACTGTTTGTTCACATAATGGACAAAAATATTTCTGATCAGTAGATGAAGTAAAGTGGTATCAGGCATCCCAAAGTAGCTAGAATTGCCCTTCAACCACTATGCACTCACTGAATCATTCTTGCCCCAACGTTTGTCATCATGTCACATAAATATTAGTTATATTATGACTACATATAAATATCAGTTATATAAAGTTTGGTAGCTTTACTACCAAACTCATGCATTTGCCTTTGGTCATCTCCCTGCTATGGACTCCAGCAGGCCCATCATTTAGAGGAGAGGACCCCTCCCTCCTGGTTTCTTGCCTTTCCCTTCAAAATTCTAACACCTCTGAATGCAGTATTATGCATCTCTCTTTCTCCCAAGAAAAGCATGAGTCAGTAGTCAAGACTGTATCTTTCAAACTTGAGGGGAATTCATCAACAAAGTTGTGTCTGTATTGCTCAAAGTAACTCAATTAATAGCCGAGAAAGAAAAGAAGGTCATTATTGTGAAAGGGGTTGATATGATCATCCTTTGGTATCTTAATATTGTAATTAGACCTGAGCCTCAAATGGTATGCAGAAGTTATCACTTTGTAGAAGTTCTATGAGATCCCAATGGTTGCCCTCCTGCCTGACTCTCACAGGTTTAGAGACATAAGGCCAACACGTAGAGGGTCTACATCATACTCACTGAAACATTAAATTCCACAGTGAGTGGAAGCAAAAAGCAACATTGATAAGGGCACATGCCATTTCTCTTCTGTCTCATTTTTTATTGTCCAAGTAGATTTCTTTTTTACGTACAGACACTTAATCTAGTGCTTATTTACATCCCTGGTATTTTCTATGGAGGCCTGGCTTTCAGCACTAGTGACCTCACAGGATTTCATCCATCACCACATTTCTGTGAATTCTTTTATTGTGTGTGATAAATCCAGACAGTTTACGTTTGTTTCAGTCTTACATCACCATGCTAATAGACTATAGACTATTTTAATAACATCTACCACTCAACCAATCCAGGTAAGCTTTGGGAGTTATTAATTGGAATATACCATACAACCAACACATCAATTACACCATCTACTACTATACTGAATTTCTATTTAACTGAATTTTGGGGGTGTAATTTCTATGAGCTTATTCTTGATCATTGTTGTACCTATAATTATCAGTGTCACATACAAAGGATTTATCATGCTTATTATCTCATTTTAGGTCACCAGTCTCTTCAGAAGATCACGGTAAGAATCTGTCTTACTTATACTAATTCAGAACTAAAAGTTGAGCTGTGGTCCTTGCATTTCATTGTCAGAGGGAAGAATTATTTAAGAAAATGTCTTCAAGATGTTTGCCTTGTGTTTTTTAGTGCACAATATGAAGCGCTTTTAAAAACTTAATGCATTTTAGCTAAATCTGATGTCTTGTATTATCTTCAAATCTGTTACAACTATTTTGGTTGACCAATATTTCAAAGCTTAACGTATTCTGATTTCTGTCCCATCTCCAGATACAGTTAACCCTTGAACAATGCAGGGGCTGGGGGCACCTTCCATGCAGTCAAAAATTTGTGTGTAACTTCGAGTTGGCCCTTCATATCTGCAGTTCCTCCATATTGGCAGATTCAGCCAACGGCGGTTCCTGTAGTGCTGTAGTTTTTACTATTGAAAAAAATTCCTCATATAAGTGGACCTGCCAGTTCAAACTCGTGTTGTTCAAGCGTCAGCTGTACTCTATGTGACTTTTGGCTGGTCATGTAACTTCTCTGAGTCACAGATTTCACCTTTAAAGTGGGGATTTGTAGTAGATATTTCCAAAAGTCCCTTCCAGAGTGGACACTGAGATTTACAGAGAATGTTATGAGTCTGAAATTGGTAGTAGTCTGAGTTGTTACACAGTTGAGGTGAGTTATTTGCATTTTAAGAGATGACTATTTTATTCACAGGATAAAATGTGTAGTTTTGTCACATCTAAGGTTTGGGGTTGTACATATATTCAATCAGTCATTCAGAAATGTTTTATTAAGTGTTTACAATGGGTCAGTTATGTTATATAATCATGTTATACAAATATGCTATATGGAGCTATGTGCAGGGACAATGTGATGTGTGACACAGAACTTTTTCCCTCAAGGAGCTTGATGGGTCCCCTTTTGGGGAAGGGGGCAGTGAAATGACACATATGTACTGCAATACAAAGTGAAATTCGATGAATCTTTTATAAAAGAGGGATAAGCCAGGACTCTAAGAGTACCACTGACATTCCACTTCATGCTGTCCCTAATTCAGCTAAGGCACCATTATCTATTTAGCCAAACAAGTTTAAAATGAAAAAAAAAAGACAGCTGTTTTAAGCTTTCCTCTTCACCCTCCCATTGCTACCTGGCCACTAAATTCTATCAACTCTGTTTTTTACACTTCTTTTACCTCTGTTTTCTTTTCCATCCCCATTCCTTTCATTTAGGGCCACTCCATATCTTACTTGGACTTTTAAAATTGTCTTCTGATAGTCATACCTAGAATTCCTTCTTTTATTTCACTATATACCTACATATCACCAAACTGATTATGGTAAACATCTACTCCCATTGCCTGTAGGATGAAATCTTTTCAATAGACCAATAATTGTATTCATCTTTCCAATACTGAACTTAAACATGGACTAGAAAGTCCTAAGTGATGGACTCTTTATCTTCCTCTACTGCTCACTGCTTCTTTGGGCATCTTTCCCCTCGTCTCTATGCTCTGTGCTCTAGCCATGTGGCACTACATCTAATTTCTGAAACTCAGCACGTTTATCATGTTTCCCTGCTTTTAGCCAGGCTGTTCTGACAGAAGTCACTCCTTCTTTTTGCCATAGACAATTTATACTTACCATTTGACGTGTGGTTAATCATCTCATCATCCGTGAGAGCTTTCTGCCCTACTTAACATTGCATCGCATATTTTTCTTCATTCTAGAATTTAACTTAAAAATTTGTTGCTTGATTTACCTGTCTCCCCTGCTGGACTGTGAGTTCTTTGATATAGATCTAACAAATAGCAAACATTCAAAAGATGTTCATTAATTGAATACCTAGAGAGAGGTGGAGTTTTTAAGTAGGCCTGTTCTGCTGCCGTATCATAAAGTCTCTCCCAGTGTTGGAATGAAGTTGTATCATGTTCTATGAAAAATCACAGGGGAAATTATGTTCAGGCCTCTTAAGTCAGAATTAGGCATCACCCACCTAATGATGACCTACTGTTATATGCTATTTTGCTCATCGATGTTGGTATTGACTAGGTTTTTTATTGCATATTTAGAGGTCCTTGGACTTTAATGACCTTTGTTTGCATTTGCCTTCCTGTCTGTAAGAACTTAATCTCCCATTCCAGAATAAAGGGGGATGGGCTTCTGAATTACAATTCTGTAGTCTGCTAGGAATTCTTAAGGGTTATGGGCTATCAGCAAGCAGTGTCAATGTCCTGGGGAGTCGTGAACAGGTGACAACTACCCGGAAGACTTGTTCAGTATTAACGGCACTTCAAAATCGATTATTTTAAGAATATATATGGGTGTGTGTGATTAAAGAAACATTATCCAAATTAGAGGGCTTTTACATTTTCATGGCTTCAAAACGTTGATTCTGCAACTTCCAAAAATGATTCAAATATGTAATGTAAAATTATAATGCTGACTGACCTAATCTTACCTAATTTTCATATCTTCTAGCCCATGTATCCTTGGAAAAATATTCTTTTCCTTTTTTTATCACCAAGATTTTCTCTTAGTACTTAAAATGTGTTTTCTTATGTTTATACATTTTAAAGTGTTCATGTTTGCTGTGGTTAGCATAAAACCTTGAGTATCATGTCATCAAACTTGTGTTTGTATACAATAATGACATTGCAGTGTACTCTAAGAGAGGTAAGAAGTAGCATTTTTGCTTTCTCAAAAGTTACGGGTAGAAAACTCGAGGCACATTGGGCAAATGGATTGTGAAATTGGAAAAGAAAGCTCTGTGCCTCTTGCCTTTCTATTTTGTTTGCTTTCCACCAGTGATCCTATTTCTCTCTCTGACTGGTCACGTTGGCTATCCCCAGAACAGACTTCATTCTTGAGAAAATCTAATTTTCCAAAGTCCAATAACCCTGACCTTCTCGATCCCCTCAGATTATCCTTTCATGGAAAATGTGCTTGGATATCGTGGCCTTGTTATTTTCCCTCTTAGTTTCAGTTTCCTCACCTGTAAAGTGAGGCTATTCGTATCTACCCAGCCTACCTCATGGGATTGTTATGAGTTCAATTGTGAAATCACTTTCCAATTTGTTAAAAGCACCCTGAACATAATGCTGTTGATGTCAGCAGTGGATGAGGAAGTATGTGTTTATGATGATGTTTGCTCAGCATTACATACTGCCTTTGACAAGTTAAAAGATGTGCTGGGGAGGAGAAGGGGTGTGAAAAATGTTTCTTTCAACATTATCATTAAATATTAAATTTTATTGGAAGCCTTTTTATATCTGGGTGAGGAGTAGTAAAATGGTTAATACACAATTCAGCCTGCAGTGACAAAGTAAAGGGACAGTTTCTGATTAGATACGGGGTCATTAGGTATGGGAAATTGATGACATAAGGCATAAGTGAAATGTAGAATGTTCCTATTTTTATCATAGAGTATCAGAGTCATTAAGAATAGAGGCTAAAATTTACTGAGTGCTTCTTGTGCAGAGACACTGTGCTGAAGTGTTTCAGCTACATCATTTCATCTTTAACAAAGCACACTACACAGTAAAATTGTTCTCCTCAGTTTTTAGTGGGGGAAACTCACAGTACTTACATAACTTGCTGAAGATCACACAGCTAGTTAGTGGTAGAGTTAATTTTCAAACCCAGTTCTAACACTTCACCCTTGATCATTTACCCACCGTGTCCCCAGAAAACAAAAGAAGTGACTGTCAGCATTCAGGTGAATTGATAGAATTATAGAAAGAAAAAAATTTCCCTCTAACAAGAGGTTATTTACTACTGTGTGAGTAATTTCCTTTTAATGACAAAACAAAACAGACCAAAAATAACAACTTCTCCCTCCTGCTGAGAATGATTTGTCCCCGTAGAAAAAGTAAATACCAATGTCACATTCTCTCATAATTAGCTAACTGAGTGAAACTGAAGCTTCAGGGAAGCCCGCCATGCGAAGTCCCAGGGGGAACGTTACATTTTAATGTTACAGCTGGAAGCCAGAGTCCTACTCCTTGTCAGAAGAGAAGCTTGATGTGATGAATTGCCCTGTCCTACAGGTTTCCTCTCCATTTAGTGCCTATTGCCCCTGGAGCCACGTCTGGTGGGTTCCCAGGCTGCTTCGCCCGCTCTGAGCTCTCAGACTCTGTCTTGTCCTCTTAGCTTGCTTGCTTTACGGCCTCTCAGAACACCTCTGTGCTGGGGCACTGACAGAGGGTCAGCTTCCAACCAATGTCTGTTCACTTACAAAGTAAAAGACATTAATTGAGAGGAAATGCCAACAATCTGATTCCCCCTGGCATGTCTGAAGCAGGTATCCCTCTCCTGTCCTAGCCCGTAGACCTGTTGTTGGTAAAAATGGTTCTTTCTCACTTTATATGGTAGTTCTTCTGTTGCAACAGTAACACAATGAACAAGAATGGGAGTGGAGGCTATCTGGAGATAAAAACTGTAACAGCCATGATCACCAGTGTAAGTCCCCAAGGACGAGCCACCGTCAGGATTCGAGGCAGTTTTACTTTGCAGTGGGTTGTGCAGGGAAACGCATTGTAGAGTGGCCTAAAGCTCTTTAATACATCAGTGGCTGTCTCTGGCTCAAATACCATAGATTCATATTTCTCTCTAGTATAAATATATATGTATATATACATTTACTGAAATAGAAATATTCATAAAAGTGTATAAAATTTATCTGCTCAGTTTAAATTATAACCAAAGGAGCTACTGGGTACCCAGCCCCCAGTCTAAACAATAAGATATTTGTTGTAATCTGGAAGCTTCGTGATTGCCTTTCTGATTACATTCTCTTCCCTCTCCTATGGGGATAGCTACTATTCTGCCTTTTTTGTTAAAAATTTCCTTGTTTCTTTTCATCATTTTACTTCATGTATGCATATTTCACCTATGGATATATGTGTGTGTATAAATATATATTTTATATTTGTATTCCATATATGTGTGTATATAGTTTTGCTTATTTTGAACTTTTATAAATTGAATTATTTTGCAAACTCTTCTGTGATTT